CTGCTGGCCATTTTCCATAAAAACACACTTTACTATTTAGGCATTACACTCCTAATGCCTTTATTATTTTTTCTTCTTCACAAAGAATTACATTGAAATATAAATAAGTTTTCACCTTCTTTCCAGGTGTGCATTCAGACAGTCCCAGTCATTCAGGAGGCTGAGGTGTGAGGATCTCTTGAGCCTGGGAGTTCAAGGCTGCAGTGAGCCATGATTGCATCACTGCACTCCAGCCTGGGTGACAGAGTGAGACCCTGTCTCAGAAACACAGTTAATTCTTTTCTTTTTGCTCATATATAAATTGTACTTTTTAAAAAATATTTCAATATCATTTAGAGCAAATCCCCTTGTGGCATGTTTGTGATTGCTGCTTTGGTACTTGAGACTCAGCCGGGTCTGTTTTGTTCTAAACAACTGCTGGGATCTGTCTTGTTTCTTCAGCGATTTGTACATTGATTCTCCTGGTCATTTCCTTTACCCCTGTGTATAATAGCACAAACCTGGGAATGTTAGAGAAGACACATGAATGGGCATTTAAAATACATTCAGAAGCACAGTAACTATTAAAACTAGCACGGCTTTCAAACAGATGATGATTAATAAAATTGTGGCTTCTTATTTTTCAAACAGGAAATGCTGTGAATTTTAGTGCACCGAAAACCAGTGTGTAACAGAGAGTGCAGCCTGACTGAAAGATTTTTAAATTTTGTTTAAAACAGTGTCATAGTGTAGGAAACCAGAAAGAATTGGAAACACAAATGAAAGAAAGAGACTGCTCCCTGCAAATTTTAGCCATGAGAGTAACAGTATACATTTAGATAGAAAAGGCTATGAGATTCCAAAAAATTCAAAGACACTATTGAGTTTCAGAGAATAGCAGGATATAACCCAGTCCTTGGTGGTCAGCTGAACCATATTATGATTGTTTTTAACATGGAAGGAAGAAGACTCTGCTCCCTATTTAAAAACCTGCTGTTGAGCTGTGTACTCTCTGTCCCAGCCGATAGTCACAGCCTTGTCCTTACTGTGAGCAGAGTGAGGAACTGATCATCTCACCAGTGTGCAAGCTCTCAGACTTGTTCTTTACTAGAGTAGGTGCAGTCTGGGTGCAGTGATGGTTTCTCTCTGTGCCCAGAGGGTGGCTCCCTCCTTCACTGCCAGGACAGATGTCAGTGTGTGTTCTCCCAGCCAGTAGGACAGATGCAGTCAGTGAACAACACAAACATAGACACACACACAGACACCTTCCTCCCTCAGCAACCCCAACGCCTGACAACAGAGATGAATCATGCTACTCAAAGTAGAAAGTTGCCATCAGTAAGTGAAACTGACAAAAGGGTATCTTAAAAGACAATTGCTTCAAATTTAATATCTGTAAAGAAATATGCAGCTGATTATGGAGTTGATGAAGAAGTAAACTGCGTGATATAAAGGGGAACATAATAAACATATTAGTAATAATAATTAAAGGGAACATAATGAATTTCATTATATAAATTTTTTCTTTTTCTATAAGTTAATATATAAAGGACAATAGCATGGAATTAAAGGTGTTGTGTTTTTATTCAAAAATGACTTTTTTTTTTTTAAACAGAGCCTCCCTCTGTTGCCCAGGCTAGAGTGTAGTGGCATGATTTGGCTCACTGCAATCTCCACCTCCTGGGTTCAAAAGATCCTCATGCCTCAGCCTCTTGAGTAGCTGGGATGACAGATGCCGAGCCACCACACCCAGCCAAGAATATTTTCAAAAGCATGTCCCTCAGGCTATAAAAATTGAAGTTGAAATTAAGCAATA